AGATCACAAGTTAAAATGTTTGCTAGGCCTCACACTGTCTATTATCTCGTGGTGTGTCTGCAGCAATCTTTTCATGCCTAATAGGCATCGCTGCACTTCAGACACAGCACAGCTTATTTTTTCAGACAGATGTTAATTTGTTTTTGCAACAGTGTGGATTTTATTAAAGAGGTTTTTTATTAGCACTTTGCTGCAGATCAAAGATGCAGCAGTTGACGAATCAGGTTAGCTTGTGTAGCCAGTAAAGAGTTCACAAGTACATCTGCAACAAATAGTGGATTTCCTGTGTGCTGACCTCACCATCTGATTCCTGTCAATCCATTGCACAGAAGTGCCTAACTCATTACTTCCTCTTTACAAAAAGGGTTTATTCATCACTTCCTGTCTGTTTTCTCTATCATAATCAGAGAATGCTGTGATCTTTTTGGTTCCCTGCTTCTCAAGTCCACAAAATTACAATATTTTTGTAACTTTGCAACTCTGTGTCATCATGGTATGTTGACCCTTCTCCCCTTTAAAAATGTAGACAAGTATCTGTTAAAGGTCTGTTGTATAATCATTGCTGACATCTAAATGTTGGTTTCATCTTAGGTCATTTTGGTGACTTGCTTCGGTAGCTGATTTGTTTTCTACAGGCACTGAAACCATTTGAAACCAATGGATGACTCCATCGTCTTCGCCTTTTTCCTCCTAATGGTGCTACAACCAGATTAACATACCAGAAAAAGATATAATCAAAAAATATATGTACTGTTCACCTCATACTCTGGCGTTTCCTTGTTTTTCTGCTGTTACTACAACCAATACTGTAACTTGAGCCTTTTTTGTTCTAATCTTTAGTGTTTGTTGCCTTAGGACAATTCTCCACTGACAGTACACAGGTCTTTTTTTTTTCAAAAGCATTATATTTGAAACAGGTCCAGACGTTGGTGGTTTGCCCTTTTCTGTGGGTTCTCATGAATATGATGTATCACAAACAATCTCAAGGGATTCTTTTTGAAAAAATGCAACAACAGATATTTTCTTAGATTTTAGAACAAAATTAATATAATTTGATTCTTAATTTTCAATGTTGTCAAATATTAATACAAAAAACAAACTATAACATTTTTAGCCTGTGGGAGAAGTTCTAAGTACACTATCCAAACACACTTGCAGTTCTTTTTCTACAACTGATATTATGTCATTGTACTTTGGTTATCTGAGCTAGCCTGCCACACAGAGAAGGGTTGGTCATGTTTGCGGTTGCACCTACAGCTGATAGCTGTTTACCCCCACTGACACTGTCACACTGCTATTATGTAGAGTGTAGTCACAAGGAAGTACTGCAGAACAGCTTTTACTATAACATGCAATCAAGTGGGCGAATGCACAAAAAAGATTGACAGGCCTCAAGCAGCCAGTGGTCTGCTACTTAAAGACTTCTGACCTAATGCCAGTAAGATGTTTGTAAGTCTACGTCAGCATTCAATGTAATGAGATCGACATGGTGCCGTGCACTAATGCCTAACTGCGTGTCACTGTCAGGGTACAATAAACCCATGCTCACAGTGAATGTAAAGCTAAAGTATATGCAGGACTTTCACACCCACAGATTGTGTGGGTTTCCTATGCTTCTTGTGGCAGTTTACTGTGTGTTGGTGTGGCTTGGCAAATGAAAAAAAAAATCAAATAGTTTCATGAGCTTCAACATCATTTTGTCACAGAGGTTTTTTTTTTTTTTTTTTACAAACAGAACACATTGAAGTATTTTTTCTCAATGTCTCAGGTGCACTGGACTAAGTTGTGCAATGTTGTTGAAGGGAATAGATTTTTGTTTAGACTCAGGTCAATTTCAGTTTAGTTTCAGTGACAACAGATTTTAGGCAAGTCATTTTACAGCAAATGTCAGTGTTAAAAATAATTAATTCATTAAAGATCCAGTGAATGTGATTACATATTTTTTTTATTGTAGTCCTGGGCAAGTGAAAGTTCAATTTAGTTATATTTACTCTGTCTGTATCTGTTCTAAAAAAAAAAACAAAAAAAAAAAACAAAACCCACACAATGTTTATGCATTAGCATGTTGTTTTATTAAAGGTTTAATATACTTTTAACGATTGTGGTTTTTATAATTGCTTGTCAACCTGCCCGTTCTCTGGTATTGTAACAAAGCTAATTTACATTTGACAATAGAGAAATGTTCTTTATGAGTGGCCTTGATACAAAGGAGCTTCAGGAAGATCAGTGGAGAAAGTTGGTGCTGCTCCTCACTGCCATGTCAGTGGCATCTAAAAAGCCTTTTGTTGTCACATGGGTGGCCTGTTGTCTCTGTGAAGAGCAAAAAGCCTTTTGTGTGGCTTATAGCAAACACTAAGGAGGATTCATAGACCACCCATGTAAACAGGCTTCAATGGGTAGCACTGTCACCTCCCACACAGCAGTTTATGCTAACAGTCGAGTGAGACAAGATTTTTTTTAGAAGGCTGTGGTTGAGGCAAATTATAATTTATGGAAAAAAAAGATAAAAAAAAACAAACTTAAACAATATAATAGGTAAATATGTGAATCGATCAGTTATAACGCAGGTTTGGAGAGGATCCTTCATCTCTATATAAAATTCATTTAAATATTTATTCACTTTGTCTGCCAAATATTTTTGGCTTCTGATAACTATAAATATTACATAACTGAAATTCTTCTCTAGACTAAGCCCATCACATGTACTATAAAAGCAAGACCTTTACCTTCCACTTTATTAAAAGTTACCTGTGGATATGAGAACATACAGACTGTTCCCACAGACTTCAGGTTTATCAGTACTTATGCTAAATTGTAAAATGCCCTCTTGTTTGTTTTGTTAATTGTAATTGCAATTGTAAAATGCCCTCTTGTTTGTTTTGTTTTACTTAAACAGTAGTTTACTCCTTTTGTGCCTGATAGAGTACAGTAGTTTACTCCTTTTGTGCCTGATATTTTTTGTGAGCTGTATAAGCAATTTTTTTGTGGCCGTGAATTTCACACAAATTTAATTTACTTTTGTAAAGACAGTCTGTTAGTGAGCAACCTCCAATATAAATAAGAGTACCAAAGGCAATAGGTAGAGCTTCACATATAATATCGAGGTCAGGTGTGAGATGTGCTGATAAGAATGTCAGAGCAGCGACAGCGTGGCTCTCTCCATGTTTAAAGATGTATGGGCAGTCTAATGAGGTCTGGCCTCATTGATCAGCCCCATGGCTTTGATGGAAAGAAGAACCCAGAGGCATTTGCTTTCACTTAAGGCCAGATGGTCATGGCGCCCAGCCATGGCAGTCTTGCTGAGAGTTTGTCTGTGTGTGTTCGTGTGCCATTAGTCCATAAATCAACAACTGATGATTACCACTGTTAAGAGTAAGAAAGAAGTGAATTCAGACTGATCAAGAGCCATCCACACCAACACATTTACCTCTTGAAGTTCACATATGAACATCTACGATTTACTGTCGACACCTTGGAAAATCTGATTCGTGGTGATGCTGTGTAGTAGAGGTAATGGCACCACACACAGGTCACACCAGAAGTTATGTATTTTCACAAGAAAGCAAGATGCAAAACAGTGTCAACCTTCTTGGACAATGCAGGGAAATTGTTTTGGTTTTGTTTTTTCCCTTTGTTTGTGATGGTTTTAAATATTTCAACTTTGAATTCTGGCACTCATTTTCCTATGATTTATGTCCATACAATAGTTGGTTCCCCAAAATATATAGTGCCACATTTAAGATCCAAGGCATTCTTCCAGTTTTTTCTCTGTCTCATAACATGAATTTATGAAATTAATGAATGTTTAGTGCAACCTGCAAGCACCAAGTAATTTCGCTCTGCAATTCCAATCCTAACTTTTCAGGGTGGTCTGACAGACCTGACTGAAATCACTTTTTAATCAACAGTTGAGAATGTGCTAAATGTTTCTATCCATTAGTAACTTTAGATCATATCTCTTTATTCAGATGTATGATCTTCACATGGACAGACTACATGGATGTATTAGAGGACAGATATTAATTAACATACATTTTGTCGATTTTATACATTAGTGTCGTTTATCCTCTAATGTGTTCATCAATCCATACAGGGATTAGTGACCTAATTGCTAAAATAAATGAATAAATAATGAGAGAAATGGAGCATATTGAAGCTTGTTGCATTGGGAGGTTTCAGTTCCATCTCTGTGGAGGTGCATCTGTCACACATACATAGCCGCCATTTATCACAGAAAACCATGACAGGCTCAGACACAGCCACCCTGACTCCGGGAGCCTACCAGCTGCATCTTTGCAAACCTCAGACTTCCTCCACCACTTTAGTGCACTGGTACAGCTGATTCCACAGCCCAGTTTCTACCCTTTTTACTTGTGTGTCAAATAGAGAGCAGCATTGTCATGAGTTTCTATCTCTTCATATGCCTTGGTATTTGAGTCTGAGCTACTCTCCTTTTACAAACATGAGAACATCTTGAAAGGCATTTTTCCTTAAAGATTGCACCTTGTGGCTGGGTCTAAGGCCTGCAAGGAATGAGGAAGTGGACACTTATCTGACCACGGGCTGTTGCTGGTACTCATTTGTATGGACCAGTGGGAGATCATGTATCTAAAGAACATCCTGAATACTTCTGAATAAAACACAAATCTTTACTTTTACATATAGTTAATATGATCAGAATATAGTGGCCATAGGTTTCTGACCACAAATATTATCTCTGTGTTGCTCCTTATTTTTTTTTAATATCCATCCAATTTTATTTTTTGTATCCAACCAAATCTGAGATATAATGTTAAAATTCTCTATTTCCACTTTGTTTGCTATTTTTTTACAACAACGTTCTAAAACTAATGTTCCTAATACTGTAAATTAGAAAATTAGTTAGAAACAAACATATTTCCTTCCTGTAAGATAGCGTGCTCTGACTGACTGACTGACTGTGTCTGTTTGTTTGTTGGTTAATCAGTCCATCATTTCTTATTTCTCTCTCTTCTGCGTAGACTTAATTCAGTGCACAAATGAGATGAACGTGAACATCCCTCAGCTGGCTGACACGCTGTTTGAGAGGACCACCAACACCAGCTGGGTGGTCGTCTTCAAATCGCTGACCACCACACACCACCTGATGGTCTACGGTAATGAGGTCAGGACCTGCTCAACAACTGTTAAACACCACATGTGCTTTAGTTGACAAACAGTTGAGAAAATCATTTATTATAATCACTAGATCACATCATTGTTTTAAATTGTCAGTGGCACTGGCGGTGATAAATACTATGCTGTGGAACTAATGCTTGCACCACTCTGTCTGACACCAAATTGGTCAAGGATTTTGAACTACATTGTGAAATATTGAATTGTTTTCCTTCCGTCCATTGTGAAATGAAACATTTTGAACTGTCAGCACTCTCGGAAGTTGTTCCTTGGTAACACAGAAAAACTATTAAAAACAACAGAACAAGAGCTTATTGGCCTTAATGGAAAAAATGGTTCAAACACTTTAATTGCTTATTGCAATTTTAGGTTATTCATTTTGTAGTTCTTTGATATTATATATAATTTTGGAAGATCCAGTTCTAGCACACACAGAAATTAGATCTGTTCATTGCACAATAAGTAACTGCTGCATTTGACTTGTGCAAGCAAACACGGTTCCTCATCTTTTGTTGTTTTTCTTCTTTCAGAGGTTTATACAGTATCTAGCTTCGAGGAACACATTATTCAACCTAAGCAATTTCTTGGACAAAAGTGGCTTACAAGGTATTTTTCACATATTAAGAAAATAGGCTGTCAGACCGTAATTCACAAACTGCTCTACATGTATTTTTGCTTTTATTTTATTTGAACACAGGATACGACATGTCAACGTTCATAAGGAGGTATAGCCGCTACTTGAATGAGAAAGCGGTGTCCTACAGACAAGTCGCCTTTGACTTTACTAAAGTCAAAAGAGGGTAATGTAATTTTATCTTTAAGTTTATTTATTGTGGGAAGGTTTTCTAGTAAAGGTTTTCTAGTAAACCTTGCCACAATAAGGTTTACTATTCTTGTTTTTTTAGACAAGAATGTTTGTGTGAATGCCTCTGGTAACAGCTTTGTCGGGTGACACACCTTATCAGCTGTTATTACAGTTAAGGCACATCACCAGCTGACATCTGGTGACAGTTCTGAAGAAGATGGAAGAGTCGCACCAAAATTGTTAACACAGCTTGTCTAAATTAGTAGACTAACTATGATAGACTCTTCACAACATATTCTATCAAAATATATATGAATTACGGAACTAATGTTCTCCCAACATCAAGTTGAAATAATATGAGAAATCTGATATCTGCAAACCATAAACTGCAAGGTATTCTTTCAATGAACAGAGGCTACAAAGACACCTAGAAAAGGGAATAGATCTCACTTAAAACACCCTAGTCCTGCTTTAATTAATCTGTAATGTGTAGCATTACGCTTTACTTAGCAATGGTAGTGTCATTCAGAAGTAAACAGCTTTATATTGCACACAGATGAAATCATTGTAACAAAAGTTCCATTTATTTTATTTCAGTTGTTTTACGTTTCAGTAACACTACTGATGATAAGATGCTAAGTTCTGACATGAATTCTCATTTTTTTTATGTGCTGGAACAGGTCTGATGGACTGATGAGAACCATGAACACAGAGAAACTCCTCAAGACCATCCCCATTATCCAAAATCAGATGGATGTGTTACTGGATTTCAATGTGAGTGTTGCATTGACTTTGAGTCAATGCAACATGTTTTGTACATGTTTGTGTAGTGTGTAGTGTTTGTGTGTGTTTGTTTGTTCCTATAACAAACTGACTTTTGAATGATCTCTGACCGTTCTCAACACCTTCACCTCTGTCCTAGGTCAATGCCAATGAACTGACGAATGGTGTGATCAATGCAGCCTTCATGCTTCTGTTCAAAGATGCCATCCGACTGTTTGCGGCCTACAATGAAGGCATCATCAACCTCTTGGGTAAAGAGAAGTAGTTTGATTTAACCTATTGATTTTATAACAGAATTGCACTAAATGAGATAGAACTGCAGTAATAGCAAGAATACTCCCTGCCAACATTCCACATCAGGAGGTAATGGGTAATGTGTCAAAGCAGAGAGAAATGATCATGGTCTATGTTATGCTTTCCAACAGAGAAATACTTTGACATGAAGAAACTGCAGTGCAAAGATGGACTGGACATCTACAAAAAATTCCTCACACGAATGACAAGAATCTCAGAGTTTCTTAAAGTGGCAGAGGTAGGTCAGGGCCACACACCAGCCAGTCAGATGTGCAGACAATCTTTGAATTCCAAGTTAGGTTGAGCATAACAAATCTTTGCTCTTCTCCTCTTGCAGCAAGTGGGAATTGATCGAGGTGACATCCCTGATCTGTCTCAGGTAAGCAAACATGCAATAACAAATAACAAAACTCATATTTATGTATAAACTATTAACAAGCAGGTTATTTTCTTATTTTTGCAGACCTTATTAAATTGTGACTTATTCATAACTAGCATTATTATAAGATCGACAATTTTTATTTTTCTTCTTTAATACTATCAGCTATGTGACAGTAAAAAAGGAGACAAATCAGCACTGAACTTAATTTTCTGTTTATACCCTGCATAATCCTGGACTTCACTTGATATGGCTGTTCACACCTGACATATTGATATATCCCGGATGTGTTTTTGTGGCATGACAATGGTGCTATTGTGTAAAATAACTATCCTTGTGTAGTTTAAGAAAACTTTAATTATTTTATATTATAACACTTGTACACAACGTTAATGAAGATAGGTATAATGAGACATATGCCTTTAGTGTACATGCCAAAGGTTGTTATGGCAGCTCTAATTGGGTCAGTGACCTCCAACATTTGGCCGTTAATGTCCTTTCACGGGCTGCTAACTCCCCTGCAGCTTCAGCTCTAACACATTTTTAATCACCACGTGTGGCACCCACCAGGCAGGCATGCAGGCATCGCATGAGCCTTTGATTGCACTTCCACACACTTTGCAGGCCACACTCACTTCTGACCTTGCACGTCATACAGCAAATAAAGGTGTGAAACAACCAGTGCATTGAGGAGGTGTTTTCTTATTTATGAAACTTATATGCTCTGAAAAACACTTTTTAACTCTTCTTTGTAGCTCTAGTTGTATAATGTGTATTTTGCGCATTATAACTTTTTGACCGTTACCACCTTTATTTTCTGTATTTTCCCTTCCTTCTATCTCTCTTTCAGTTTACAGTGTGTGTAAGTATCTGAACCTTTTCTCTCTCTGTCTCTGTATTTGACAGTGCTTCAGTGGACTTTTGGCTATAACTTGGCATGCTATAGTGTTTTGTGTTCTTTTACAAAAGTAATGTGCAGTTACACTCATCTAATGTTTTTCAAAAATTCTTCATGCTAGGCCCCTAGCAGTCTGCTGGATGCCCTGGAACAGCACTTGGCCTCTTTAGAGGGAAAGAAAGTCAAAGACTCGACAGCAGCCAGCAGGTACATCTGCTTTGCCTCTGTTCACCCAGTCTGGATCCCTGCCATCCAGGCTAGAGCTCAGGCTCATGTTTGCTGCAGCAACCTGATAGTTTGCGGCTATTTTAACTGTATTCTGTTATGTACTAAAGTCTACGTGGAAGGGTTCCTTGTGTTTAATCTGTGGTGCCACTAACGTCGTATTGGTCTCTTGATTTAGGGCCAGCACCCTTTCCAATGCTGTCTCCTCCCTGGCTAACACTGGCATTTCCTTTACCAAAGTGGATGAGAGGGAAAAACAGGCGGCTCTGGAGGAAGAACAAGCTCGCCTCAAAGCACTCAAGGTGCGCCTTCCTTGTTCAACCACATTACTTTAATTTTAGTGACGGTACAAATGTCTGCAAAATATTACAAATATTCTTTCAAAGAAAACCTGATTGGATTTATTATTTTCAACCAACTTATAAAGTAATTGATGATGGCTAGTTTGATGTAGATATAAGGGAATGTTGTGTTCGTTGGACAATGTAGGGCATTTGTTAGATTGTTAAAAAAAAGATACAAAAAGAAATAAAACTGCCCTTTGTAAGTACCACTGTCTTCTCAAATTTAGTTGAATTATTAATAAATATACTTCTCTTTCTGTTTTACCCCTGTTTGGTTCAACATGTGTTTGCTAACAACTTTTTAATATTTCTGAAGGAGCAGCGTTTGAAGGAGCTTCAAAAGAATCCTGCCGTAGCTACCACAGACTCTTCCCCTGTCTCCACCATCGGGGGCACCATCAACTCAGCACCTGCCATTGACCTCTTCTCTACCCCCAGCTCCACCAACAGGTGAGATTAGGGTGATGACATTTTATCTCTTTGTTTCCTCAGAACAACTTACTTTAAATGCAGGACTCTCGTGCGAACTTTCAAAATTGTTTTCCCAAAAATTATTTCTTCACCAAGATCTGATGACATTTCACTTTGACAACCCCGATAACATGAAGCAAAGCAAACAAAACCCAAAACGTGCCGTTCTGAGGACAAATGCTGTTGCGTCGTCTTTTCGAGGAAAAAGCCTGTTCTTTGATGTTCTGTCAATAAATTACTGATTTGTCCTCTTTATCCTTGTTGTCCTTTCCTTTTCATCCAGTGCACCTAAGGCAGCCAATGACCTTTTGGACCTGCAGCCAGCTTTCCAGCAGCCATTGTCTCTCCCCACTACCAACTCATGGGGAGGTCAGAGCTCAACTTCACTACACTGCATCCACATTTGATAAGCATGCATCTTGTACATAAGAATGTACAACATGTATACAGAACATATACATATATATACGCAATGTATTTTTGTGCAACATCAGTCAAAGGTCCTAACCATTCTTACTCTGCTTCCTCATTTACACCACATCAGTGTGGCAGAAGGAGGAGGAAGGATATTTTAGAAAACTTCATAGACATGTTGCTGATAAAAAAAATGTGTTCATCCCTTGAGAGAGTAAGTGTTGCAGGTCAGCAATAGTGCACTGTGGTGATGTGTCCTTACTGCTTAAAAACATCAACAGTTGTTACATAAAGGAATCTTTCTGACAGACTGGCAACAATTTTTTAGACTAGACCTGACCACAAGCATATGCACACAAACGCAGAAGAATTTGATTGTCACTAGATGTAACGCTGTCCCGTCCATCATTTTTGAATTACCAAAAAAAAAAACCATACATCCAGGAGACAGGGAGAGGCTTTCATATAAGATGGAAATAAAATCTACTGTACAACTGAAACCATTAACATTGATACTGAGTTTGGAAAGATGTACAGATTAGAGAGCAAAACTGACAGTGAACAAGGATAAGGGGGCATTTTTGCTGCCTCTGGAGTACGAACAGGCAGCCATGGGCATGATCGCTCCGTCAAAATTGGCAGGGTGACTTTTTTGTAGCGATAGAACATTCGTTTTAGAGAGAAAACCCTCACATGTATCTGTAGAATTGAAACATTACTATTTTAAAAAGCACCAAGGTTGTAGCAGTTCATGTCGACCTTATTGACCTTCACCCTCTTGTGGTTATTTTGATTGTATGTAGGTTAATGGCATTGTGTCACAACAGGTTTTGTAAGCAGCCATCTTTTGACACATTGCAGTGAGATACACCATAGAACGCTGTTTCACTGTTGGAATAACATAAGTCAGTACGTTGAACCCTGATCCTTCTGATAGTAGAGAACCTTTGACCTTGATACTGGGTTAAGAGAGTGATTCCTAACATCAGCCGTCTCTGTGTCTCTAACACTGTAACAATCGTCTACATCTGTTGTGGCATTTCCCCCTGCATGTCTGTCTTGCATGAACATTTAACCTCTCTCATGCTCCTCTCCATCGTAATCTCTCTGTTCCTTCTTTTTTTTCTCCCTCGTCCTCCTCTTCTCCCCGTTCTTCTGCCCACTCAGATCCCTTCACCTATGTTGCAGAAGCTGTGGAAGAATCCACACCAAACTCAAACCCTTTCATCACACCACCTGTTGTCGATGCTGTCCAGCCGTCCGCGGTGTCCTCGGACGTTGGCAGGATGTCCTGTAGGACACCTAGCCATGAAGTGTTCGGTGGGGTTGTTTTGCCGCATGTTATTTTTTTTTTTTTGTAGTGTAGATATATTTATTTTGTCTTCACTCTCCATAGTCATGTGTGCTGCTGATATAATGCATGTTAATGATTCACTGTGGGTCGTTTCAGTGTGTGAAAGAAAGTGTGCACAATGATGCTTTCAGAGAAGGAGGGAATTAAATAGAGGAGCTGCTCCTAGTGGTTCAGTGTCATTTGGTCAGAACATACTGTTTCATGACATTTGTCATATTCAAAGACCTGGCATGCTGTCCCATTCCAAATATTTTCCTTCTTTCCTTCAAGCCTGTGGTCTGCTTGTAAGGCCCGCTGAATGTTATTTTTTATTTTTATTCAGTTCCATACAGTTTTTAGAACTCAGCAAATACATTGATCTTCATCAGTTTCTCATTCTTGGCATCCAATCCTTTTGTTGCACAAATACAGTACTCATATTCATCACAAGTACTGTAGTGAAAGAAGCTACGCACAAGATTGTGTTACCTTTGTGAACATAGATGAGACTTTTGGCAATGACTGGGGTTGTCCCGGTTAAAATCAGAGCCCATTGTGGATTATGCCTCCAGAACTCTCCACCCTCCCTGCTTCCTAAAAGTCTAAGGGTGTGAGCCTGCATTGTTTCACAGTTGCCCACTAGTTCTATGCTGCTGTTAATTTTACCCTCTATTTAGTCTAGCCATGTGATGAGTGCCGGCTTCCTCCGCTTTTGTCCTGCAAATCCTGATCTTTGTTTTCCCCCCGCAAAACAGCCATTCCCACAGTTGCTTGACTTCCTCGCTGCTCTCTCGCCACTGTTTTTGCTGATCTTGTATCTACATAATCTTCTCCCTTCTTCCTCCCTCTTCTCTCTGCATCTGGTTCTTTGCCTGCCTGCTGTTGTTTCTGTCAGACTCCTTCTGTGGGCCAAGCCCTTACTCTACTCTCTTCCAATCTGAGCCCCCTGCTGTAGCTGGTCTATTCAGAGGTAGGTACACTCCAGCTGATCAGTGTAACTAACCCTCAACAGTCAAGCTGACAGCCAAGTGTCCCCAGTGAATTTTACATTTTCAATTTATTTTCGATTGTTCCCAGAAAACCACACCTTGTTGAACTGTCTGTCTAAAGATAGTAAATTAAACTTTGTAGAATTTTCTTAAAGGTAATGTGAAATTACCTTAGTGTTGTTTAGTCTGTGTGGCAGTAAGGTACTAGCCGTTTTCTTTGGTCTTGTCCATTGTTTAGTGTTGGATTGTTTCTTGACAGAAAAGCAGATCCCACAGCCTATTGTGGTCTCACTTGGCAACGCACTTCCTGTTAAAGTTCCAAAACAGATTTAAAGTAAGGTAGTAGTTGGTCCTACTTGGTTCCTACTAATGATTAAAGAACTTCGTCCTGGTGATTGACGATGATAGTAGCAAATGAGGTCGTTAATACCAGGTCGTTGCTCCCTGACCTTGGGTTACTCATTTGACTAAATAATTATATAATAATATATATTTACAATTCAATACAAGATCATAAATTATAGCCTGGTGTTTAATATTTCACTCACGGTCACAGACAGGTTGGTGATAAAAAAAGAAAATACTTCCATACCCTGGCTTAAGGCAGGCAAAATACAGTGGATTGGCAATGTAAACAGTCAAGTTGTATTGCACAAGGCTGTTTTTTTGCACATTTTGCTAGTGCAAACGGGTGTGTCTGATTTACCAAATTAATTTAGTGTCGAAGTTAGAATAAATAAATCTGGAATTTCTAGGACATTGGAGGTATTGATGTTTAATTGACAAGTTGCACTGTAAGCAGTCAGATAGTATTATTTATGACTGAGGCCTTATAATAATTTATTTTGAGAGTGGTGGAACAGGGAAATAATAAACAAGACAGTATCCACTGTAACACATTGCCTTGATTTTTCACTCCTGATATCTTCATTCTGAGGAGGCTGACATCAATAATGTTTATCTTAATCTGTACTAACTAAATGTTTTAATACATTTTGTGCTGATTGTTGCTACTGGTAGGTGACAGATAGGGCTGTAATCACATTACTCCTTTTTCTTCCTGTGTTAAATAGTCCCATATATTGACAACCGTTAACAGACACTTGCTGACTGGTGTTCCTTATTGACATGAGACCTCTTGGAGAGAAGAGAGTTTTCCACTTTATCTCTAGCAGCAGCAGCTCAGGCTTTTTGTCTCTGAGTAAATGCCCTATCACTAAACCAGTTTTTGAGATAATGTAAAAAGTGAATATGAAAACGAATCCTTAAACAAATGGAATTTAGGCAAATGACAAGATAAAAAATGATTTTTCTGGTCTGTGATTTTGGCAACCACATGAATCTTCCCACAGTGTAGAAATGTTGCCTTATTTTGGCCAGAAGCATGTTTGGAATGGCTTTTCATCCTCCCAACAGCACAGTGTTGTCTTTAAGCATGCATTTGACTGATTTGTTAAGACTATGCGTTTAGAGTTGTAACATTCCAAAAATAAGTGATTAAAGTCCACTAATTAATATTTGTTGTTCTTGCCTGTGAAGGAACAAAGGTTTTGTCAATTCTGTCTCTGACTGTTGGTTTTCTTTTGACCTCACCAGGGTTCACAGCCTCCCCCACGCAGCAGCAGCCACAGAACTCTCAAGGCCTTAATGTTGATTTTGACTCTGTATTTGGCAACAACGCCAATGCCAACAACATGGACTCCACAGGTAAGTAAACAGACTACTTCGACTTTGACAGCCAGCATCTATGTCGGCTTGCTGTTGGATTGTGTTGAGGCTAAAGAAAAAAAGTGAAGTTGTTGTATGTGTGAACTTAAAATGTTCTGGGCAATCAAACCTTTATGCATAATAGCTACATTTCCAGAGGTCACTAGAATCTTGCTGCCAACAAATGTTTTTTTTAGGCTTTTGTCATTGGTTGGTATGATAGTTATCAATTGTACTCAAGGGTAGTGAAGATACCTCTGTTGAATGTGTCCTGATTGTTATATTTATCAGCCGTACTAATGTTTTCCTCTGATACGACAGGTCAATAGGTCCCAAACCTTTACTTTCGTGCCCCCTTTTGGTGTGATAGTACTACTTCGAATCCGTTCTCCCCCATGTTAGCACATTAACAGTTTTGACAAATCAATGCAGTTTCCCCACTGTGACACAAACAAACCACGTTAGTTAATTGAAAATATTTTGCCAAGCTGTGCCCCTCACCACTTCAGTAGCTTTGCACCCCCTGAGGAGTCACCCCCTACTTTGGGAAACCTGCATTAGGTAGAAATTAATCTCCAAGCTTAATTCACAACATGCGCAGAACTGTCTGGTTTTTCACTGCGTAAGTATAGGTTTGTCACCCAAGTGAAGCAGCATTTATTTAACAGAATCAAATGCTGTCAGTATAAAAAAAAATATCTGTGTGTGTCATATGCAGCTCTGTCACAATGTTTGGTAGCATGCACATGATGCTTCCTCATTGTTATGAGTGTTTCCTGTGGCTGTAGATGTCATTTCATTTATTCATTGGTAATGTGTACTCTTAAAGTATTACTTAAATCATACAGTACCTTACCTGCCTAGTTTTCTCTGACTCAGACTTGGCCCTGACTTATGATATGTTTCAAGTTGTCAAACTTATGACTGAAGTTAAACTAGCATTGAGCATCTATTCATCCAATGAGCTATTTTTTTAAATAAAATTCATAACAGATTTGTTTTATGGCTAACACGTTTGCCAATTTGTTCTAGGCAGTGACCTTAACATTGCTCTTAAATTGCACAAAACGTTTTAGCAGCTAATACTCCCTCTTTTGTATTTTCTAGTTTTGGGCAAAAAAACCCAATGTTTTATCTGTGATTAATTACCTGATTGTTTGCAGATTTGAGGGTAAATTGAGAACAGTACTGCAATAACATTTGGTTTGCAATCACTTGAAACAAACTTTGCGAGGTGATTTGCTGATGTGGTACTTCAGACTAGTTTGTATGAGCATAAAGATCCTGCGATAAACAAGCTCCCAAAAATGTATTATTTAAAAAGCAAGTTAATATGTTTTGAAGTATTAATCATTTATTTAATGCATTAACAAGACAGAAGCACTTTAACTTGCCCAGCTCCAGGAGCTACTTTAACTGTTAAACTATTTTAAGTCACTACAGAGATCTTAACAGCTCTCACACTGTGTGTTTGGTTCACCCTCACTGGTTTCCAAGCTGCTCACAATCTCATATTTTTTTTCTCTTTTCCCTTGTCCTGGGGTTTTACACACACTTCCCGGGTCTTGGCTTTTTGCATGGCATATGCATGACTGGGTGAGTTGATGCGACACACATTGCTCTCACACAGTCTTGGTATGAAGTTTTTTTTGTGTGTGTGTGCTCTGCTTACTGCCTCATCCACGCTGAACACCCTCTCTCTGTGTCTTTACATTTTCTTTATTGTCGTGTGTCTGTCTGTGTGTTTGTTGTGTTATCGTCTGTCGTATTTTGTCTTCACCTCTTCTGGGCTCCCCGACCTCTTATCCCTCCCTCCCCTTCCTTTCCCTGTGTCCACCCTTTGATTAAGACATTTTAGGTGGCATCCTCAAACCTACAGTGGCTTCCTCACCCAATCAGGGCATGACCCTAAATGGCCAACAGCCCAATAAACTTGTGTCTAATGACCTGGATTCTTCGCTGGCCAATCTTGTCGGCAGTAAGTTCTCATCTCGTCATCACGACCCTAAACAGAAACTGTAAACAGATCTTTTAAATTGATTGAAGTTAAAGTGTAAAATATGCTGTCAGTTCTCTACAGTTTGTCTATTGTTACCATGGCTATACATTTATTGCTTTTCTTCTCTCTAGATCTGGGAATTAACAATGGCACAGCAAAGAAGTGAGTGCTCATGATTAACATGTACCTGCATTTGCCTCACGCTGCATATCAAATCTGATTTCACGATTCACTCCACCTCTGTAGTGATCTTCACTGGAGTCAGCCTGGAGAGAAGAAGTTGACCGGGGGAACCAACTGGCAACCCAAGACAGCACCTTCCACCACATGGAATCCAGCAACTATGGTAAAGCTATGGTGTTTACATCACCAGACAGTACACATACAAAACACATTACATTTGCGATTAATTGCCTTCAAATTTACAATACTTTCATATACAATTGACCATAAACCCTAAACCCTTTTTTTTGCGAAGGATATTCTGTATTTATTACATATCCTTTTTGTTTTGCCCTGTCAAACGATTATAATTATTAATCTGGTTAATCATGAATTATCTTGCGATTCATTCATGAATATAAATTACAGCAGGTGGATGTGTGTTTTATTGTTTTTATTTGTGACTATTCAAAATGATAGAATCCATATCAAGGAGAACTGTCAAGAAAAATATGCAAAAGTATAACTTTACATAGGAAAATGGGCATGATGACATGATTATTGTTTGTTCAGCCCAGTCATATGGCACTCGTTATTTTTATGAACAATATAACAAATAAAATCCCAAGTACAATAGTTAAATCTGATGACCAAAATATGTGTAATTTTAGACTCAAATTAAAATAATTGGTTCACTTTTTACTGAAATATTTTGCAGAAAAAAGTCAAGAGTAAAGTATACGACACCGTATCCATCCAAATACTGTCTTTGCTGCTATTGGTTTGTTTTTTTTTTTTTGTTCTCCTAAGACTCAGCCCTTTAATGGTTCCAGAAGCTACAACTTTTTCTGTGAAGACTTTGCCACATTAACTATGTATTAATAGGTCTTAGTCCATTACTGTTGTTTTTGACACAGATAATCAACATAAATCTAACCAATGCAATGTACTATTTACTCCAGGTTTAGTCTGCTGTCTGTGTGCCAACTAAAAATCCTGCCACTTTTCATTGCTGACAAATAGAGAATGTTGTTCTGTGTCAGAGATCTGCAGATAAGCCTTCAGTTTGTCCCAAGATGTTTGTTTATACCTTGATTCCTCAGCTTCCACGTGGCCTTTACTATCTGAAGACGGCCCCATTGACTCGCCTGTTGTATTCTGTTGAATAGGTTATTGAATTTACTGTTTTGGTGTGTCTGCAGATTTGGCTCAAAGCCACGACTGCAGATTGATTACAGGATGTGAAATGTTTGCACATTCTCTCTCTCTCTCTCTCTCTCACACACACACACACACACACGCACGCACACACACACACACTTTGTAACTACACTTCATGAGTTGTTTACCAATCAGACCAATACCATTTCCTATGTAGCTGGTTTTGTAGTTGTAGTTTTGTTAGGTATTCTGTATTACCAGACAACTGCAAATGTTCTAAAGAACCATATGTTTGGAGTTGTGCAGCACCTAAAATTTTTTAAACAGATTCTTAAACGGATACATGAATCAAAGCCAAAAAAAGCCAATTCCCTGCAAAATCACTGGATTGGTTTAATCTGTGTGAGTATTTAAACCAATAGGTAAATGTTCGGAAAGTATTGTCCACTCCATTATTATGATAGGGATTGAATTATGCAGTGAAAATATGTCAGAAAAGTGTCTTAATATCAGATTAAAGAAGACCTCCACTTTTTTCATATTTAAAGCAGTTGAGAAAATTAATGAAAACTCATAAAGCAGATGTACAAATGTCCATCAGTTGTGTCCTTCCACAGCCTGATGCAAAAAGCAGTCTAATTGCATCTTAAGTGAATGTCTGTTTTTGTTTTGCTCCTGTCCTGTCTCCTCACTCATTGTGACCCATACACTGTGGGCATGGAAGAATTCTGAAGGAGCGTTCTCCTGCTCCGTGCAGTGAAACAAGAAGAGGCTGTGATGAAAGTGACAGTTTTGGCAACGGTGTCATGTCTGGCTCACTTGTGCGTCCCTCGCCAACTACTGAATTGTTAATGAAACGTATCTGTCCCAAGAGGGGCCGGGCATTAGACAGATCTGGGTTTGTTATCACTGCAGGGCCTGTGCACATTCAACGGCTGCTCCCAGAAAGAATCTGCACTTTTCCTCTTTCATCTCCTTCCACAAGGAGCTTTACACCTGACAGGAATCACCGTCCAACTCAGAACAGAACCACAGAACATACCCTAGGTTTCTTTTTACCTCTGTCTCTGAGATGTGGATTTAAAAATCCACTTTATGGGTTAAAAATCAATACAGAACAGATTAGAATTATTCTCTGGTCAGTAAATTTCCTTTTGAGTGATACCAGTTTAATAAATAACCAGGTAAAATAGCCATTATTGTAAAGTTCAAATGTATTCTATTTTACTTAATTTAAATACTGTGTTTATGCAGTGTTTTTTTAATCCTACTAAAAAAATACTTTTTTAATTTTTAAAATTAAAACCCTTTCGTTAATGTCTGGATTGTCTAAGTACTACTTAAGTGGCAGGTTGACTAACTGGATGTGTAACAATCTGCCATAGTCTAGAAATGTATGTCAAATCAAGCTGTTGGATGTTAAACATAAAGTTGAAAATAATGTAGCTTTTACATGTCTGGACCAAACTCTGATATCATCTGACGGCTCCCAAGGATTCTGACACCGAGCTTTTGGTTACAGCTGAGGTTGAAGTGTAATGTGATTTTGGTTTAGATCTGTCGTTAATACTTTTTTCTTTTTTTCTTAAAATCTTTGTCCAAATGTCATGAAATGAACTAATTACACTGTGGATAAAGTAAGGATCTGAAAGTGTCGACTGTGAGCCGGACATCTTTGTGTGTCCTGATTCTGAGAGTCAAATCTGTTTTCTTTGTCACCTCAGGCTCCATCTGTCATGGCCTTTTCTGCAACCACACCCACAGGCATGATGGCATATGCAATGGTAAGTCAGCTGGGGCTGAACCCGCAGCACACACAGCCACACTTATGTGATGGTCTCTATGTTCTAGTACATTTGTAACAAAATCCATTACTTTGCATTGATACAGTATGACAACAGACCCTGTAACACAACCTGACACCTTCTCCTGCACAGTCACCTCTAACCCTCATAGAAATCCTGCACAATTTAGTGTTTTGTTAAAAGCGTCAAGTTGCAGTCGGACCATGCACACTTCTGGTATGTGATTTCAGAATATGTCGCCACGACATTAAATTTAAAAAAAAGAACTTTTTTTTGGCGAAATAGATCAGTTATATATTTATATTCATATACAAATAGCAGTTGTTTTTTTATTGTAAACAATGGTCCAACATGGGTAGCCTGCTGTACCTTGGAGTTTTTTTTTAATTGTTTATCTTTTGTGGCATTTTATTTGTACCAAAGCAATGGTAATTTACAACTTTTTTTTTCCCAATTGATTACAGCCCCCCCATGTGGGCTCCATGATGATGACGCAGCCCACTATGATGTACACCCAGCCTGTGATGAGGCCACCAAACCCCTTCGGTCCCAACCCTGGTGCACAGGTATTTAAAGATGGTTTATTTTTAGACTAAAATGGCAGAACAGACAGACTCGCTCCTTTTTTTTTTTTTTTTTAACTACATTCAAAAGAAATTAATTTTGAAAAAAAATGTATGTGTAGGTTCACATCTAGTCATGAAGTTAGTCTACCGTACATGTAATTTAACGCAAAAAAAACTTTTTTGGACAGTATTATTATATAATGGAGAATATTTTGTTAAACTGGTATTAATTTATAACTTTAATCGTTTCTTCTCCTAATTTGTGTAATACAGACAAGAATTTCTGATCTGTCCTCTGATTGGGTGCTTTTATTTTGTTAATCTTGATACCTTAGCTAACCCAGAAGGATCTGAGACTTTGTTTCCACTTGAACATTTAAGTGTCTGATTAGGAGAGTTACCAGCTCTTCTTTATTATGTGTCATTTACAGTGGCAGGTAATTCTGCATGTCTGAACAATCCCATTATTTTTATAGAAGGTTTCATTAGTGAAATCCTAACTTTGGTACCTTGTCCATAAAACTTGTAGCAGCTCTAAGGAGAAACAGTTACACAAAAACATCCAGTCTTTCACATGACTCACTGCTTATCACTGTCTGATGGACATTCTCTCTTTACGTCCACTTCCACATTCCTGTGTATTTACTGGCTACTGATAAAACCATCGTGTCCTGATCAAACACATGTAGCCCAGCTTTTCTCCTCTTATCTCTGGCTCTCTGTTTCTCTCACTCCTCTTCCTCCTGCTCTTAGTCCCCTGTTACCTCTAGTCCGTCCAGCCTCAGCCCCCTCAGAGCACCAGGGAAGGATCCCTTTGCACATCTCTTTCTGCAGAATTTTTTATAGAGCGTCTTTAGGTACAGCTCGCCTCCTGTGTGTTTCCTGCTGCATGTTTGACTCTGCCCTCTTGGAGCAGAATTGGCTGTGAAATGGCTTTATTATTTTGGAGCCACTCACACCCCTTTCCATGTGAAATGTCACCACAACTGACTCCACTGCTGGCTGCTTTGCACACTCCCTCCACACGCCTCCTCTCCTGTTCAATAAAGGTTGATTAGTTTGTTCTGCAAGAAGCTGAAGTTCTATTTGCTCAGGGCAAATGCAAAAGTTTCAAACTCTTATTAGTATTTAAGTGGAACAATTTGATATGTCAATTGAAAAGTACTAACTGCGTCTGCTCTAGACAAAGCGAGAACCACTGATTAATTTCCTGGAACAAAAACAAAGACGTGCATTAATAGTGACTCATCTGATGAGGTCACTGACCAAAATAACCCAGTGTTGACTCTGTTCCGATCTGGAATTAAACATCTGTTTGTAGCGACCCATCACATGACGCCAGCTCTTAACTGCAGGTACAAAAGCTTTAGGAACAACAACATATAAATCACAAAAGTAACATTTAGGAACCCCCCACTACCCAAAAAAAAAATGTTAATGTATTTTTTGAGCAGGGTTTAGAGGCTAGATCAACAACTACTGTTGTTATAAAAAGCTAGAATTCCAAAAGAAACCCAGCTCCGTCAGCACAGGCTTATTGCCTCCATGTTTAAGAAAGTGTTAGCATGTACTTTATGTTTAACAAATTCCAGTAATTAGTTAAAAACTAATATTTTCTCCTTTTTCACATTTAAAAATCTCTTATATATAGGGAACAACTGAACTACGGATTTGATATGTTATTGGTTCTAGCTTTGTTAAGCTGATAAAGACTCAGATACTGGTGTGGACGTGGTCCAGAAAGACTAATCAAAGTGTCCCGTCAGTAGAACTTCAGCTCTTATTTTTCTGTAGCTTCTCACACCTCTTTATTTGCCTCGTTCCTCTGATTTGTTTGTGTAAACGGGCAACTGTGAAAGACTCGAGTCCACGGCTGATTGTTTTCTTGTTCAGAGGAACAACGTTAACATTTAATTTTCCTTTCTTTGTCTTTCGCCTCCTCCCTCCCCAACAGATGCAGTTCATGTAAAGTGAGGCGAGACAGCGAAGGGGAGTCTTTCCCATCTGAAGAGGATTGACGATAAAGTTAGCTATCAGAGCAAACCTGCCGTTTGCTTCTAATGAACTTACCTCTCTGAGAACGAAAGGCCCAAATTAAGACTTTGAACGAAATCAAGGTGACTCAGAGCAGCTCTGGCCCATCTCAGTGGACATAATGTGCCCATCCAGTCATGTCTAAGTCATAGGAGGAGGAAGAGTCTCTGTATGTTTGTACAGTCTGCTGCCATTCATGTCACATGGACGGGGACCAGCCCCCACTGTATCCTGGACTAAGAAAGATTTTTGACATCACTGCTTGTGTACATGTAGACGAAAACAAAAAGAAAAAATGTGGGTTGTTAAAACACATACACACTCACACTCACACACACACACGCCACTTGAGTCTTTTCTTTTGTCATCGAGGCTGGGAGTCACCTCTGACCCATGATTACCTTAAAATCATCCTTAAATCAAGACGACGATTAACTCCACTTTATACCACACACTTTGTTTTTCTTTCATTTCTATGTATTGTTTGCAGTAGACATTCCTTGTGTTTTGTTTGTATTTATTTATGATTACCTATAGAGAGGATGACATTATTAAACAAAATGTAAATGTAACTAGTCACGGACTTCCCTCACTGGGAAGCTCTTCAGGTTTATACATAGGTATGACTGATGGTAGAATTGGACTTTGTGTGATTGAGAAGATTTTTAAAGGAAAAAAAAGCAAGAAAAAATGAAGTTAATATAAAAGTTTAAAGAGATGACGCATTTTGCTGCTGGGGCACTAAATATTCTCTGTACTCTGCATGATGCCTTGTACAGTCGTGTGTTACTCCGGGGGTGGCACTGAGGATGTGTATCCACGTAATATTTCATTAACCCGTCAAATCTGAAAATGTGAGAGGTTGTTTTCAAGGAATCGGGCCAAGAAGAAGAAAAAAGAAAAAAAAAACATTTTTCACATCGGCAAAAGCACTACACTATGACTGAAACAATGGAAAATAATCACCATTTTTTGATGCTTTGGGTATGTCATTTGTTCTTCCATTTGCCACAGCTCCAGGCTGCTCCTTCCTGACCTGAGTGTGCAGGATCCCTCATGGGCTTAGATCATGTTTTCATAGGGAGCACGGGGCGTGGAGGGGGGCTTGGTGTTTAGGTAAAATGGGTTGGGGTTGAGATGAGGGCGGGGCCACTGAGGAGAATGGAGCACTGTTGATCGGTGCTTTGTGTAAATAAAACTGATCCTGCCGATCACAGGAAGGGGCAGCTGCAGCTCTGAAAGATGGCCTGAACATGAAAGTGGCCCTCCATCCATTAAGCATATTTGTTGCATCGTCCTGCGGATTATATTCTTTGTTTTGATTTTTTTTTTTTTCAATAAAGTGCAAGCTTCCACACTCTACAGTCTCTGTATCTATTTATCCAAGAAAATACGTTTTTTAACCCTTTGCATGTCAGTGACATGAAGCATAGGTCTGTGCTCAGATAATGAAGTGTTGCAAAAAATATTTCATACTTCCAAAAATGATCTGAAATCGATTCATCTCAGCACAGACCATGTTCCTAAGTTTGTTTGTTTTTTCATTTTAAATGAGTAATCATATATATATATTTGATGGCTGTCTGGCTAATAATCCTGGCTAATAACACTGTATAAACTTTGTATTCAAATCACCAAGGTAAGTCAGATTCGATAGCTTACCATAAAAACATTTCTTTATTTTGTTCTTATAGACAGTAGGTGGCAGAGTTGCCAGGTCAATTCTCCACATTTTCTCCAGTCAATGTGTAACAAAAACTGAATTCCAGTGACATCGCCATGATTACATTTTACATTTCTACTGTAAGTATTCACCACATACACATGCACATCCCAACTCTGTCAGCTTCTCCTCACATTTTTGCCACTTCAGAGATAACTGGCTTTGAAAACTTTATTCTATAAGAGGTCCAATCACAGGCCCTTGTTTCATTTTGTTTATCACTGGTTTTAAGAACATTTGAACTAAGCCTCTGATGCTGAACAATAACACCTGTTCTCACAATACTCCCTCAGATCGACAGAAAAACTTCACACTGTACGTTTTCAGCCGTTCATCGAGGCAAAAAGAGGCGTCTGTGCAGAACTGTGGTGTCGTCGCCAAACACACACACCGGCTGAATAATGGATGGACTGGTGGAGGAGGAGGGGGAGAAGGAGGAGGCCATCATTCTGGGGGAAGCCCACAGGTGCAGCTCAATCTTACTGATTCACTCACACACATATAACTACATGTACACACTGGGACCTTGTATAAAGGTACATCCTGCTTGGCCAGGCCTCTCTGAAAGAAATGAGAAGCTTCTTTGTCGCCCTGCACTTCCGCTCAGTTTGGATTCAGCAGAGAAGGGGTGAGAGGAGAGAGGGTGTGTGTGTCAGTGTGTGTGTGTCGGTGTGAGACACTGACTTAATGATAGAAGTAACTGGCACGGTGAGAAAAGCCTTTCTGTCTGACTGAGATAATCTCTGTGCAGTCCAGATTATTAAGGGTTTGTTTGTTTACTTTTTCTTCAGTGATGGAGTGTGTGATGGTCACAGTGCAGTCATGTTGACACACACACTAAGGCTAAAGCTGTAATTAAGGGATGTGTTTAAGTACATTCTCAGCCATACTAGAACGGAAATGCTAGGTTTCAGATGTGACTGTGAGCTGGTGCCTTGGCCCTGGGACACTGGGATGGACACAGTCTGTACCTGCTCAAACTGGTTACCGCCTTAGACACTAACAGAAATCACTCAATACTCATTTATTTTGTGAGGCAGAGAGAGGTTAATCCCGATGGCATTCAATCACAATCACATCCCTATACGTATATTGTCATTTTAGAGCAGGGCTCTCCGAAGCATCACTTGCAAGCTACCAGTAGCTCGTCTCCCCTTTCCAAGTAGTTTGCCGAAAGGCCAATGAATCAAACAAATATTTGAACATTTTAATTTGATCGGTCGCTCAGCAAGTCTTACATTTTTATCCAATCATAATGGACAGTAATCTCTCACCCTCTTCTAATACAAAATGTTTATTTGCCATTGAGCTGTCACTCACAGGTTGCACTGCTGTCAACCTTGATCAGTCAGTGATGATTTGTGGTGAGCCGGAGTCATGATGGTGACAGGTGTCCGAACCAACAAGAGGATTGAACAGACGCTGTTGTTAGACACGGTGCACGTCAAAACCTACTGAACCAAACAGGGCAGAAAATAACTAGACATGTCCCAACAGGTTAGAATATTGTTTAGACTTTGTTTTAATATAAAATAAAGTTAGAAGTCTATTTATAGCTAATTCTCAAACCAATTAATAATTGTTTTAAATAATAATAATTTTTATATGAATCCAACTAATGGTGATTATGTTTTTTTGGTGATAATTTCATCAATATGAACTAGGATACTAGTTCTTGAAGAACAAAAGTTTGGAGACTCCTGATTTAGAGTAGTTCAAATGTGGGAGAAAAATACCCAGAGAAATCCAACTACACGTCAACAAATCAACTTCATATACTACGCTAAGACCATCAGCTACCACCAGGGGATCCAACTGGTGATATTAAAGTGAGGCAAGAGAAGAAAACCCACTCACAGAGTAGAGAAGAATGAATGAATTATTTGGCAGTCTAAAGATTTCTTCCTTTTTAATCTGCTACATTGTCTTGAAAGCTGCTGGAGGACATTTATGAATTTCCAGTCTTGTTCTTATTCTTGAAGCTTGGATTAATTTAAAACCCAGGCTCCCTTAAAGACATTAAATGCCTTTTAATAGAGACTTAATGTGTGTTACCATCATCCTATGGTAGTCCACAGGTCGGTATTAATAGTTAAACCCATCTGCCCTGTACAGAACCTCAAAAGGCATTTAATCATACAATATATTCAGACCTCATCAGTGGTAGACAGCACATTAAATTAAAGAAATATATATAAAAATAAATTCAAATTAATTTAGTCCAGTTCAGTCCCACTAAGACACTTGGACCAGAAGACGTGGACCAGAGCTGGAGGACACTTGTCCTCAGCCTGGACCTGGTGTGAATTGTTGCACTTGAACAGGGTTTATATTGGTCTGGAAATGTATTAAAAGTTGAAACCCCCGCAGCTTCTGCACCTCAGTTTTTTTAAGGATGTTTTAAAGGGGCAGGGAGTTATTATAGAATACTGCAGTAAAAAGAGTCGTAATGTGTATCATCAATCACCAGCAATGATGGATGACACTTTTACGCCCAATATTTGTCATATCAGTAATTTTAGAAGTCCAGGTAAAAAGTCTTTCATTGTTTTGAAGCAGAGCTTGACTGCCCTCTGGTGGAGTAAAAGTGTAGCAGCCTGGCGAACGGTTCTGTTGGGTTTTCTTTGTTATTATTATTATTTTTGTGTGTGTGTGTGTGTGTGTGTGAACCTGGAGTAGCTTTACTTGTGGGGCCAGTATTCTGAAATATATTGTTGTGAGTTTTTCATCATCATGGAGATCATCTCAGTTTTTAATTTTGGCCCACTGTGAATTTGACTCTGACACCCCTGCGTTAAAGCATCTGTTTCATTTCAAAGTCATTGACAGAGGGGGTCCTGGGATTTAACCTGGGATCAGAAGCTTCTGAGTTCATGCCCAGGTCACATGATAGTAGACCTAGTATTCTTGGAGGTTGGCTCAGTACTACTGAAAGTACTCTGTAGTCATGTAGTGCAAGGTATTACTTAATTATAAGATTATGTTATATTACATTATATAACATCACATTATATTATATTATATTATTATAGGATGCAGCTGCAGAGACTCATCAGTGCTGCTGCTGACTCCCTGCAGCTCCTCCTCCTCCTCCTCCTGCAGGAGCTCAGGATCCTGTTGTGGTTTAGCTGTTTCTCAGGAAGACGCAGAAGCGTGAGGTGAGCCAGTTCTGCTCTGTACCTTTATACTAACAGCATAGTGTAGTAATACTACAGTATGTGTGTTTTACCCGTGAATGTTAGTGTTCCGGTGGACTGTCTGCTCAGTGTGTCTGTGATGTTTGAGAAAACTTTTAATCTCTGCTCCAAATTGGCTGCAACTTTTTACCTTGATCAGCTTTGACTCTGTGGAGTCTGTGTTCCACGCTGCTGCTGCTGCAGGAGTGTCCGTCTGTCATGCTGTGAAATATAGTTTATGGACAATGTGTGGGTACGTTTACGTACCTGTACATTTACTTTTCTCACAGATACTTAGCAGTTTATTAGGAAATCACGTTATCCCTGTTATCCATTTTAATCTGGATTAACTCAGATTCCTGCCTTGAAGACTAACACAGAGCTACTATTGTCCTCCTTCTACACTGTGGTCCTGGAACGTTAATGTTATTTATTCCACTTTGGTAATTTAGTGAGACGCTCTCTCTTCAACGTGACTTTTTCTGTATAAAAGTACAAACTCCTGGCTGTAAACATAGACTCAGTGTATCTGACTGGTCTGCCTGCAGTCCAGATTTAGGGAAACTGTCTGAGCTGAAATTTCATACAGTGACATTTTGACAGGAACTGTTGAGGCATAAAAAATGCAACATATTTTATCTTTTATTATCAAATAATCCAAAAAAGTGACTGTGGTGTACCAAACTTTTTGTATTCACAGGTACAGATTTTAAGTGTTTAATTCACATCTGGAGGTGGGAGTAATTTCCCTACGGTTATTGATGATTTGCTTTCAAAATATACATATTCATTTTAGTCAGGAGCAGTGAAGAAAATCTGTTTGAAGTAGAAAAAAAAAATCCCCCCACCTCCACATTTGTTTTGGTGAAGTCTCAGAGACTTGTTGTTTATTTACAACTGTGATAAATAAAACACAAATCTAAAATTAGGAATTGAATCTGAATTTTGGGAAAAGTTTCACAAAATCTTTGTGTTATTTTGGTTTTCTATAAAACAAGTTTGTTGTAGAAGTAGAAATAAAAAATAGAAAGTTGAAAAAAAAAATACACTTTTTCCCAGAGCCTGACTGTTGATTTAAGATTATGTCAGATATGATGTCAAGGTTTTTATTCTTTCGTTGATGTTCGGGCTTTAACGGGGAAATACAGAAGTATTAACTCTGTTTATAAAAGTTATTATTTGGTATTTAATGAGCAAATATTGAAAACAATCCAAACTTAAACTAAAGTTCTATGTAAACTTATCAATTCCGTGGAGAGAGTGCGATGAAGTTCTGGTGTAGTCACATGTTCACCAAACTCTCTCCTGATTGGACACATCAGTGTTCAGGTCTGTTGAATTTTCCTGTGTTGACTTAGACAACAATCAAACAGTGGGAGCCAACAGCAGCTTAACCCCAGCTCCTTCTAATGTAGACACATTATCATAGCTCCACCTCCCAGGTTCTCCTTGGTCGACCGATTCTTCAGATATACACAGTTCGTCGCTTACACCAAGTGTTTTTATTTATTTATTTTTTACTTTATTTCTCAAAAGTCACATTTTCAGCAGCACTACTTGTGGACATGGATGTTGTCAGAACTTGCAGACATTCCTCATGAGAGGCAGCTGCTGTGGTGAAGTGGTGAGTAAGAAATGAGAGTTACAGGAAGAACAGTCAGCAGTGCTGTACATGTCAAGGCAGAGGACAGAAAAAACAGGTTATTACATGTTATTGGCCTCAGAACCAGCAGAACTTTCTATTATTGTTGTCAACTCCTCAGATATAAGATAAGGATTGTGTGTGTGAGAACATGTGCTTCTGGAGTCAGACACTTCCTTCACTCTCTCTATCAATAACTTTCTATTATCTATACTAAATTGTTATGTATTTGTAATTTGTAATGTGTGTGTATATATATATATATATATAATATAACTGATGTGTAAACAGCAATGTGACGTGCAACATAAAAAACAAAATATAATAAAATAAAATAATAAAGGGACAATAATAAATTATCTTAGCTAATGATTAGCTTTGTAGCTAATTTCTCTTTAGTGTTTTTGGCTCTTTAGAAGTGGCCGGTAAAACAACAGGGTTGATTCTCAATGCAGCATCCAAGTGTATGAGGAACACCTTTGGCATTTCCCTTTTTTTATCAGTGGTCATCACAGCGGAAATCTACATACTTTAGTGATTTGGCACCAGATGTCTCCGCCTTGAACAAACCTCACCATGTTTTACCACAGCTGAAACCATGACAACGCAGTATACTGGATAGTTAATTGGAGACTTTAAAACAGAAGTTTAACATTTGGCTGATTCTTGTTGTTATCAGTAGATGTTTTTAGAAATGACAGTCCTTTTTGCAACCATCTAAGTCAGTGGTGCCCAATTAGTGGACCGCAGTCTACTAGTAGATCGCTGGTAGCTCACGAGTAATTCAAACAGTCTTATTTAAATGTACATTTTTAAAATATAAATTGTATAGCATGTAGCAGTGACCATATTTTCAATGTCAGTAGATAACTTTATCCTGGTCATTTGACGTAGCAGCGTCCATAGAGCCTCACCTTTTTCAAAGAAAAACATTTTATACGATGTCATGGTTTGTGTATTAATGTGTTACTGATTGTTGTTCTTCCTTTCAAGGCCTACATCGTCTGTGTTCAGCCACCTATAACAAAACCAGCAAACCACAAAGAACACGTCTGAGGCCGTAGGAGCATCAGAGGAGTGACCGCAGCGTCCCATCATGCCACTGTTACGCACCTCAGCGTGTTCAAACTGACTTGACCTGTGAGAGTAAAAGAAGAATCCAGGAGAATCATGTGAGGAGGTCACACTTCTGCCATTAGAAACACAGTCAGAGCAGTGGGAAGTCTCACCAGCGGTGGCAGCGTTGACCATGATCGACCTGAGTTTCCTCTCAGAAGAAGAGCAGGAGGCCATCCTGTCTGTGTTGAAAAGAGATGCAGAGCTGAAGAAGAGTGAGCAGCAGCGTGTCCAGTGAGTCCTTTGTGTTTTAACATATTTTTCTTGCACTGGTCTAAAGCCATAAATGCACAGTTAAATCAAGGATTACATTTCTAAATAACTAAAATTAACACCAGCAGCTTCATCTCTATCCAGAAGTGTTACAGACGCTCCTTTCAAATGTTACAGTGACATCATCGTCTTCTATACACATGTTGAAATGCACTAAATTATTAACTCTTTAAGCATTTTCTTCTAGTATTTCTAAAAAAATGTGCCACATGTTTTAAAGCCCAGATTATTAGACGTGGGTTAATGAATATTGTTAGCAGCTTGTCAAAAGGAAACTGGCTATTCTTTAGACAGTTTCCGTTGTTTATATACACATATAAATGTACGTTTACATGTACATACTTTAACCACTAACACAACTGTTTGAAGGAAACTCCAGCAGACTGTGAGTAACAAGGAGCAGCTGAAGTACTTGACCGGAGAATGGTTTTATGAAACCAAGCAGCTTCGCCATCAGGACAGCATCCATGGCTCTGACATCATCAGGGCCTCCATCAAACACACCTATAAACCAATGACCATATGTGAGTTTCATGCATCAGTATTACTGTTTTTAATTTTCAGTTTTTTGGTAAACGCTTGACTCTTTTTGGTGATGATCTTCTGTTGGCCTTTTTTATTCTTTTCTGCAGTTCAAATATCTTTAATGTTATGATCCAAGTCATTGTGATGTTAGGGCTGTGGACATAGGCAAATGGACGGGCTAGAGTTTTCCTGACAGCATTTTAAGTCAGCTGATTCCTGTGCTGGGCAGCTCTCCAGCTGACTCAGCCTGTTGAACTCGTTTCACATACAACAACCGAGCCATTACTATTATAATCATTATATAAACTGCAGCACAGACGTGTAATTGGCTTCACATCACTTTTATAATTCGGAGGCCGATTGTGTGAAACCTACACTGCAGTTATTTTGTCATTTACATTCCAAAGAAGATGCAGTCTTTAAACAAAAACAGTAGCTCAGTTAACTTAATTAGAAATACAAGAATTACTTAGGTGTATTTAAGGAAGAAAAGACACATTTTTAAAATGTTGGTGTGGAGAAATTGACTAAATAAAGAACTGTGGGTTCTACTGATTGCAGTACTGAATGTTGATAATTGTTGATTTTTGCTGTAAAAAGAAATTAGCTTCAAAATGACTGATTTTTGATGGGGAATATATCTGGACTACAGGCTGGTCAAAGGTAGGTGGTAAATGTTTTTTTAGTTCAGGGCAGAGGAGCTCGACTCTAAAGGCAACTATCTTTCGCTAACATTCTAATATTGATTGTGTTTCAGCAGTATTTTGACAGATATGTTGATGCTAATTCTACTGACAGCTAGGTCTCTTTAAATGAGCTTTGGACAGAAAACCTTTTGGCTTTTCTGCGTTGTTGACATTAAGCTAAGTACTGCAGTACATGTACACAGCTTTTATACATTATGTTTAACAAATACAATTAGAGGTTTACACCTTATCTTAGTGTGGCATTTCTCTAGGTTTTTTTTAGGGCTAATTGTTGTTTGCTGTGTCTGAGTCAATAGTTAGATTGTAATGCTCAGGAAGATGAAAGGTGAAAGACTCAAAATAACACTTGAATATTATAGGTTATTAAGTCAATCCTGGTAATAACGGTGGCTGCCAGTGTCTGCCACAGTGTTCTAATTGTTTGTTTCTGTTTTTTTCTCCAGTGGAGCTCTCCAAGATCCTGCCTGAGGACTCCAGTTTTGTCTGCAGTGAAAATAAAGAAGTGTTCGTGCCACCTTTACTCTGTGGACTCCTGCAGGAGGTCAAAGGTGACAGGTCAGTCTGCGTACCACGGAGACGCAAAGCTACAGTTTCTCATGACTTTGGTTTAAACTCAGACAGAGTGCTGACTATAAGCTGGTGTGATACCTATTTAACAATGCTTTAATTTGGGCTTTTTTATTGATTTATTTAATGTGGTTGACAGGTTCTATTTTTGTAAGGTTCTTTTGAGATAATTTGCTCAGAAACAGTCTACATTAAAGGCCTTCTCAGTAAACTTAGTAAAGTTCAAGCTCAACCTTTCCACTCCCTTCTCACAGACTGGGAAAGTACTCCTGGAGTCTCTATTTGTACAACATTAAAAAAAAACAAACAAAAAAAACAACAACAACAGTGTGTCGTGACTTAGTTAAACAAAGTCAAAGACTGAAACGGCTTCCTGGAGCTCACCTTATAACTCTAGACTCTAAAACCTCACACTTCTTTAACAGCATGGCTGAAAAAAGTGCCATCACATGCTGCACCAGTCGACTAGAGATTATTTCTGTGTGACTGAAAATTGTGCTCACTTGAAGATTTAGTAATTGGCTCCATGGTTCTCTGTAATCTCCTTATAGGGTCAGCGCTCACATGTTCCTGTTTTCTACACAGAATCTACTACACTTATGTATCAAAGTTTTGCATTTTCTGTGCCGGATGTTGAGAGTCAACATCAAATCTCAACATCTAGTGACTTTGTCAGGAACAGTGAAAAACGTTATAGGTAAATGAAAAAGGGGGGGATATTTATGAAGCGGCAACTTATGATGGAAGTATATTTAATATTTGCCATTGACAAAACACAAAACACACTAATTCTACAATCTGTTGTTATATAACAACAGGAGCCCACACGTCCCCCCGCCTGACTCACCCAAACAAGTGGTACAGTCACCCACAAAGGTAGGCTGCTTTCTTCTATATAATAATGTATATAATAATACAATGATCATCTGTACTCTGTGAAGCTTTAGTGTGATGTTTATTATACTTATCCAATTTGAAGAACTTTGTGAACGTTTTAACTTTGTTTGTTTTGTGTTTTGCAGAGAAAAAATCCATTCAACACGGATTTTACTGCAGACAATGAAAAACAGGAAAGTCATGGAGAAGAGGATCAAACTCAGGAACCACGTGAAGGTGAGTTTCATCAGTTTCTCACTGTTTCAAACAGTCAGAAAACACTTGAAACTCTGATCGGGTGTGGTCTAACGATATGCTGTGTGTTATGTTTTGAATTGAGCGAACAAGTCATGAAACCCAGATCAATGTAAGTTCCGTTCTGTAAATCCTCTGTATGCATATCCAGGTGAATGGGTGTCTAACGCTTTAGCTGCTTCGACCTGAAGGCATGA